GTTGAGCAACATTTGATCAGTTGGCATGCTGACTATGGTTTACATATTTGGATACACAGTAACACCTGATTTGACAATGTTATCTTAATGACAAATGTGTGTTTAGTTCAGTTGACTTGATGTTGATTTGACTGTAAAGCAAACTGTCCTCTTTCAGCCAGGGATAAGTGTGCTGTGGCCTGCTCTCTTCCAAATTACAGGACTGATTAATCCAATTTAAACTGGCTTCAGTTCGTAATTGGTTATTATTACATTAGATGGGCAAAACGCAACATAGTTTATTTCATCATGCATTTGCTCAAGATTGTGATATGTTGATAATGTTGATATATTTCTACTTTGTATTCTTTTAAATACGAAATCAAAAAAATCAGTTGCAAAGTATTGACTTTCTAGCATTTGAAATAAAAGCAAATGTTACTGTAGAGGACAAGCATGTCAGAGGTCAACCTGAACGGATACAAAGGTGCAGTAAACCCACCAGTCAGTTACAACATCGGTGTGGCTGATGAAAAAGTCCTTTGCATTTCATTGTGATGGAAAGAAAGACCACCACATACATGCACACAAACACACACACACAAACACAAAATCGCACACCCTGCTGACACCTCAGTGTGGCCACATTCTCACCTCAAACCTTTCCATTCACTGACTGTCAGGCCAGTGTTTCCACCAGCGGATGTTTTTTGAGGCCAGTGTTTCTTTGAAAAGACACAGAGGGCCTCAGCCAGGCAGGAGAAACTAACTTCAGCTACTTTAAACCGCGTCTTCAGTAGGATACCTGATGTTCTACTTTTCAAGCTGCACCACTGAATTTTTTGTTCTGAGACAGTTTTCTGTTTGATCGTAAATTATTGATCTGTCTTTACAGCGTAGTGTTTAAAGTATCATTCTATTTTGCCTCTTCAGAAATACTTACGAGACCCCTGGCATAATATGGTCCACACTTAAATATTTTTAAGATTATTATTTAATTCAATAAAATGAGCACTAAGCCAGTAAAAATTTTGGAAAATATACTTTTTTGTCGGAAGAATACAGGTTTCCCGTTCCTTATGTGGAAGTATGAGACTAGATGTATACACAAAAAGTAAACACACATACACACGCACACTCCAACAGGAAGAGTGTGGGTGTTTGGGAGCAGCTGCATGGAGAAGCATCAGACACAGCTTCCTCCTGGTGCAGCCAGCACCATCTCTCCTCTCTTCTCTTTTACTCTCCCACTATCTACTCATTGCCTTCACATCTTTAACATGGACAGAAACATATATTCATTCAGAAACAGATGATACAACCACTTATGCCACTGCCTCACATTGGCTCTTCCCCCTGAAAACCGATGATTCAGTCTGCACTGTTGGCAGAAATTAGTTGTCTGTGGCAAGCGTACAGAAACCATGGTTTGTGCATGTTGCAATGCAAACTGTGTGTGTGTCCTGTTTCTGTCCTCTTTCCTCAGAATGGTGACACATCAGCACATCACCACCTGCTAGCCCAAATGTTTCACAACACTTTCCTGTGTTGGGCTCTAATCAAGGGCTCGGTGGTAGCGTTAAAACTTGACTCCACTCTCACACCTGTGCGAGGTGGAGCTCAGATGACTCAAGGCGCAGATGGACAAAACAGATAAAGCCAGAAAACATAAGAACATAAGAGATGTTTTGGAAATGTAGCTGTTACATCAGTGCCTCAGCTATAAAATGTCAATCTTTCATTGTTGTGCAATAATCTTTGTAGTGGCTTGATTATAAAAATGAGATGATAAACAGGATATACTGCATATGTCAGTGGATATGTAAATGCACCATATTGTTAAACATTGTGTCTGAATCAAGGCCGGTGGAATCTTCCTCTTACACGAGACTGCACAGGTGCAAGATCCTTAGCGTCTTTCACTTTCCTTTCCAGTTTTCTCTTCTTACTCCCTAATGCTATCACCCAATCCCATTCCATCCACTATTCCTCTGTCTTCTACTTTCCTTTAACCCCTCTCCTCAACCCCTTTCTGTCAGCAGCACACCCCCAGTAAGTGGTTACTGTTCTGAAGACACTCAGCAGTTATTTCTGTGTTTCCTGTGTGTCATGTGGTGGTAGCTTGAGCTAGCTAGCATGGCTGACAACACACAGGCTCCCAGGTGCAGTGTGTCACAGTGTGGGCCGTCAGCCAGAAAGCCAGTGGGCCAGTTAGCAAGCCAACTAGGCCCTGCAGCACGTGCTGCCCTCCACCCCCACCCTTAACCCATTGCTATTCCCAGTAGAAAGGAGAAACAGGCCTGTGACATTTTGTCTATGGGAAAGAACGCCTGCAAGTGTACGTGTGAGCTTGCTATTTTTTGTTTTTTATTTTTCATGAGGGTGTTCCTGCACCAAACTAAACTGTTTAAGGGTTCAGTTTGTGAAAATGTGCATGACTGAGAGACAGGAGCTTCTCTGGTTATGTGCAGATCAACCGAGTTCAGGGGTCAGGGCTGTGCCGACGGAGTAGACCTCGAGTGAAACCAGCATGCAGGGGCACCAGGGTTCGCCCTCTTCCCCCGGCTCGCCCCCAGGCTGCAGATGCACCGACCCAGACAAGGCTGCACTTCTCTGGGCAGCACAGAGAGACTGCTGTGCTCCGGTTCCTGGAACCCTGATGCTCTGATTGAGACCCTGCACCCATGCAGGAACCAGAGGGAGGGGAAGGGAGAGCAAGGGAGGGGATGCAAACACATCTGGCATCAGCAAAAACCTGCACACAACTCTCATAACATCATGAGAGAAATGTACTGGCCATATAGAAAGGCGAGCTCTGTTTTCCCTCTGCTATCACGCATGCAGAAGAAGATAAACACACCCACACACATAGCCAATTGTGTTCCTACTACCTCTACAATCTAGAAAAGTAATTATCTGAGGAACAGGACAAGAAGGCACAACAATTCTCCAGCTGGCAGGACAGCACCAGAATACACCACTCTCTGCTATTGTTCTATTTATATACCTCACCAAACAATGCCGTGTTGGTGTCTAAAGAAACTAATTATTTAGCGGCATAGCATCTAAAGAGGAAACAGTACAAACCATGTTATTTTCAATGATGTATACATATACAGTACTGTATACATATGGTAAGATCTATTAAAGCTGTCAAGGGGAAGATAAATGAAAAGCTGTGAAAGGAGGACACAATAGAGAGCGTATCAGAGTGCAAGAAATTTGTGTGTGGGTGCATGTCTCTGCAAGGTGTCTTTTTGGTGTGTTTGTTTCTTTTGCGTGGGCGAAGCCTTTTGCATTAGGCGGCAGTACAGGACGGAGTTAGAGGTAGTGGTTGGGACTTGTGTTTATATGTGTGTGTACACGTGTGGGTAAGAGTGCAGAGTACTTCTTATAAACAACAAGCACCCCTCTCTCTCCGTTTCAGCCCACTCTTCCACGGTGCCACGCGTTTTTGCAAACCTATTCTTTCTTCTTTTTCTTCAAACAATTTGGGCGAGGATTTCTCTTTGAGTTTCAAAGCATCAAGGAGGAAAGGGAAAACAAAAACAAAAAAATATGCTTTTAAGGGTATAATTGAATAAAATGCATTTACACAGTGGTGTTGGTGTGCCTGTGAGCCACCTCCTCTCTTCAGGGTGACTGAGAATAGGCCAGTGAGAGGCATGGCAGCGAGCTGGAGCGGTATGCTCTTTGTGGCCAGCTGTGGGCCCATTAAAGGCCCATCTGCAGACAATAGGCTCTGTCTGAAGGGCACACACAGCCTGGTTCCTGTCCTGCTCTGCCTCACTGTGTTTGTGTATGGATGCGTATGAGAGTACCATGCATTTCCATGCCCCATTTTAATCTGTTACAAAGGAATACACAGAAAACATACTTATGCAGCTACTTCTAAAATGTCATTTTGAATGTGTCTGCACTAAACATGGGAATTTTCCAAAGCAAACCTCAATCTTTTGCCACATAGAATGCACTCATAACCTTAGTTTGTGATAACCTCTTCCCTGTAACATGGTAGAAATAAACAGAATCATGCCGTGGTTCACTGAGGCAGTTCTTGTTGAAGTTAGACGGCGGAAAAACTGATTTCACTGTGAGATTAAAGCTGTCATGCCATCCTCTCTTCAACACAGAGGAAATGAAGATCACTTTATTAAAGGTTATCTCCACTCACACACTCGACAAAACACAACAGCATGCAAAAATATAGGCAGACACTGGAAAACAGCTAGCTGGCCCAACCACACACCACTCAGCGCGGTTCGATTAAGCAAGCCACAGCTTCACATGCCCCGACACACACATAGATACATATATACACACACACACACACACACACACACACACACACACACACACATGGCTGCTGCATGCAGACACATGCAAAAAATATCTGTCCCAATACAAAAATAGGCCCTGAGAGGTTGCACCTGCACCTGTGCCCTGGTCCACACCTACACACAGGTGTCAGGATGTGACACATACACACAGACAGAGAAAGAAAGATAGCAGAGAGGGAGGGGGAAAAACGAGAGCGGGGTGAATCACACTACTGCGGTCGACCAAAAAGCTTTTTCTAGATATCATCTCTGTATTTTGGAGTGCAACGATGAGTGTGATTTTCACTTTTAAATAGACTTTCAGGTAAATGTGTTTAATAATAACTAGTGCACACAATGTGTATTCAGTAATTGCTCAGTTATCTATACTATGTAATTATACGATGTATAATAAGAGTTTTACACATAATTATGGGGATGAGGGGAGTGGAGTGAGGGTTTAGGCAAAGTGTGTATCATATTGCATACATGAGTGCCTCAAGTGTCTCATTCTGCAATCCAGAATGAGTGGTCTCTGAATGTGTATGTGTGTGTCACAGTGAGTCAAACCCATTTGGCTCTTATTGGTGTGGTTTGTCCCTTCTCAAATGGGGCAGAAAAGGGAACAAATACTCTTAAAAAATAAATATAAAAAACACTGACATACACAAACACGTGCACTGTTCATAAACAAAAGGTTGGAGTAGATGTATTTTATTGTTTCATAATAAGAAATAAGAAAATAAAAGCAGACTAAGTATTGATTGAGATTAATACATTCACATCAGTTATTGAGAGTAAGATAATAAAAAAAAAAGATTACATTTAATTCAAGCTGGTGTAATTGTAGCTGCCTTTTACTAAGCTACTAATCATAATAAAATCTGCATTTAAGAAGTCTGAAGACTTACTGTCAGCCGGACAGTAAAGTCTGAGCTCTCTCAGTGTTCAGGCTTTAAGTTGCTGGATTGTAAAACCATTAGTGTTGGATGATTTTCTTTCCATCAACCAACTTTGAAAGACAAAGTTTTAACATGGTTTCTTAACTACAATTATGTGACATTAAAGAGGATGCAATACCATGGAGCTCTACTATGTTTTTCTGAGAAATATCGCCACCTTGTGGATTCAGGCTTATGCTGCAGCCCACCAGACACCGCTACAGCTACACTACAACTTAACAGTTCAAATTCTCTTTTCATTTATCTTATTTCGTGTTCAGTCTTGTCATCTTTTCAATGCTGTTTTAATAGGACCCCCTTGAAAATGAGATGATACATCTCAAGGGGTTATCCTGAAAAAAATTCAAATTCAAATTCAAATACATCTTTATGTATGAAGTGCCTTTGTGTTTTACAGGTGCTATACAAAGAATGTTTTTCAGCGCAGACACTATAGTCACTAAGTTCCTTCAGGCTTAGTCATGTTATCTAACTAATGTTAATATGTTTAAAATACACTGGAAATGCATATATTTAACCCATGTTTCAAATATCTTTAAAAATTAAACATTAAGGATGGTAAACAACAATAGCCTTCAAAAATCCTAATTCGTCACCTCATCATTTTCTTTCTCAGCACACATCTCTCACAGCTCATCCTTCCCTGCTCCAATGGGACAAGAGACGCCAGTGCCTTTGAGGCCACAATAGCCATTAGGTACCTTCTTCAGGTATTGCTGGTGATAGTCCTCAGCGTAGTAAAACTGCTGCCCCTCCCGGATCTCTGTAGTGATGAGACTGTGGCCTTTTTTATCCAGCGCCTAGGGACAAAAGACAAAGATAACCCACAATAGTTACTGCACAGTCACACTTTTCCAAAACTAAAGACAAGCAGCAGAAAGATAAAAGTGTCTTGTCAGATGACATGCAGAATGCATTCAAAATAAACTGTATGATAGCCCTCTACATAATAATGCAGCAGGCAAGAATGCATGTCTAAAAGTCTTCACCGTGTACACACTTTCTTTAAGTTTAAGCAACATTCAATTAAAGGTTAAAAAAGGAAAACGTTCCTAGCATGCAAAATCTTCATGTGTTCTGATTCTTTTTCCATCACCACAGCCATGACATTCAGCATTACTTTCTCCTTTCGCTACAACTTCCTCAAAATGAACACACCTCTTAAATGGCTGTTTTATTCTGTAGTGTATTGGATGTGAACTTCCAATACTCTCACTAATACAGTGAAGAGTTTCTGCTCCTCTGCGAGAAAGCAGGGTGATTGAGTGACAGAAGAAAGGAGCATCTTTTTCTTTCTTTTTGAAGTGCAGCTTGCCTCTGTGGCTCTCTCTGTGGGACAAAGCATCAAAGAATATCCGCTCTCTTTGAGAACTCCTTAAGACACTTTCATACTTACACTTTTCTAAACACCTTGAGAGAAGGTTTCAAACACACTAAAAAAAGCACACTGGTTCACACACACATTAAACACCTCTGATAGATATATCAAATGCCTGCTGTGCTGAGTGGTTTTCTCTATCTAATAATACAAGCACTCAGTCCTCTCTAGATCAGTGCTCCTGAGAGCTGACAAAACAACAAGTTCATGGTGTACTGGGACTGTCTGTGGGCAACAAGTAGCTTTGCATGTAGCGCGCTACACCTCAGAACAGTGTGCAGCACTGAGGAGCTTTGCTTTATGGGGGCGTCAATTGGCAGGGTTCAGCAAGCACCATGAAACAGAAGGTGAATGTATTCAATCCCGGCTCAACCTGCTCTTATCAACTTTTGCATATGACCTGTCTCTCTGCATGATGCTGTCATGGATACTGTTGGAGAATTTAAAAGGAAGACTTCATCCTTCTTAAGGTGATAAAACTTTCAAAATTGCCAGTTAAGGTTTGTAGCTCGCTCCCTTTATGGAGGCTGCGGTCGGCTTGAATTCATGGAGGTTATGATGGATTCCATGAGGACACATTTTCAAGGCAGGAAAAAAGTATCAAAATGTCTTACAGCTTCTCAGACGACTGCAGTGTCACCTGCTCTCCTGTTGTTGAACTGTATTGCTCTTCATGTTCAACAGTGTATTTTTTGTGGAATATAGTGAAAGACACAACTTTCATTTTAATCCCCGGACATGACATTGTAGAGCTAGTAGGCTGGCACATGTTCCAGGTTGGAGTTGTCCCCTTTAAAGCTGCAACAGTCAATATTTTTAGATATTCCATGTCTCATATTATGTGCAATGTGTTGCTTGTGGTTAATTATCACCCAACCTTTCAATCCTTCGGAGCAGGTTTTAGCTGATTGGTTTTATGGATGGCAATGTCAGCACTTTAGTTAAGCTGGCCAGAAACAGAAACTCCTAATTAATCCAAATGTTGCAGCTAACCCAGCAATGTGTCTGCTGAGTTAGCTGCTTTGCTAAACCAAACCATATACATGCTAGAAAAGAGATAGTCTAAATGCCTGGCTACACATCTTCTGCTGATGCTGTAACTAAGCTGAATAAAAGTGTGGATATTACTATTTTACATACAACACAACCTCCACTAGGTACTTTAAAGCCAATGTGAACTGTGCAAGACAATGTATATATATAAAAAAAAGTATCACCACTTATGTATAAAGGAATAATGTTAATAAAGGGCAGTAGGGTTGTGCATAATGTTGTCCACATGGAGGCAGTGTGGTACAAGCTGTGTGTGTGTGTGTGTGTGTGTGTGTGTGTGTGTGTGTGTGTGTGTGTGTGTGTGTGTGTGTGTGTGTGTGTGCGCGCGCGCGAGCGAAGGAGGAGATGCAGTGGAGTCAGTAAATCAAAGCTCTGAGTCCCATCGAGAGGCTGAGGCAGCAGCTGACCTCTAAGTCCTCACTTGCTACCGCTACAATGTGAGGGCTCTAATCTCCCTGCAGGAAGGACCCAATGTCCACAAACCAAACTACAGTGCACATTGTGTGCTGTTGGACACAGAAGAACCCTTTTTGCCTGCCTATGTCCAACAGCATTGTAGTAAACCAGCCGACACAAGCATGAAGCTTTGTACATCATGGCCTAATTAATCAGTCATCATAACCAAACCACTGTAGTAGCAAACCCTCCAGGGTAGAGGACATTTCATGTGAGGAGAACACAATGTCCAAGAAAAGGTCTGCTATTCTGGGCAAACGTACACCCACACCCTGACACCCCCACTCTCCATCCAGCCCGCTACAGCAGTCACAACATGGCGGCCATTTTAGATCTATAAATCAGAATGCATGGCGTCACGCCACTGTGTATAACCTTATGTGGCTTCGCTCTCTCTCTCTCTCACACTGCAGTAGCAGCAGCAGAGGAATGGAGGGAAAAATGTGGAGGGTAACTCGCCATGATGGAGGAGAGAAAATTCAAAAGCGCAAGAGCATACTAGATCCACCCAAGTTCAGCATTTTGATGCTGCTGCTGATGTTGTTCAAATGACGGCTACGTAGAGGGAAAGAAATGTGTTCATCTGTGTATGCAAATTTGTTTGTGTGTGTGTAAAAGTGTGTGAGGAATGAAACAGAGGGTCATGAATACAGGACACATTAAGTATAGTTCCGCACGTGTGTTCATTTATTTTATAACTGTGGGGACAAAAACCAAGTCACAAAGCCACACCTCACATTTCATTACAAAAATCAGGTCCTCACAAATAAACGTTTAAATTTTAGTGTTAAGACTTGGTTTTTGGTTAGGTATGTGCCGCTTATGGTTAATGTTAGGTAAAATCGGCAGGGAATTAATTTAAGTCAATGCAATGTCCTCGTAAGCTGGATAAGTGTGTGTGTGTGTGTGTGTGTGTGTGTGTGTCAAGGGCTCACTCAGCCCAGTCAGCCCTTCCTTTCTTCACGCCTGTCGGAAAGACTCCCCTGTCAAAGACATGGCTGAACGGTTGCATCTCTCTCCCTCTCTCGCTCGCTCACTCTCCTCCTTCCTCACTCTCTCAATCTCCCTCCATTGCTGTTTCTCTCTCTCTCTCTCTCTCTCTCGCCCATGTGAGCAGAGACCACTGCTTCGTGCTACCAAGTCCTCCTTTCTCTCCAGCCAAGCGAGAGAGCCCTGTTCGCCATCACCATCGCCAGAGAGACGGCCCTGGGACACAAATAGGACGTGACACCCAGAGAGAGAGGGTGGAGGTGGAGAAGGAAGAGGAGGAGGAAAATGTACTCTCTTCCTACCCCACTGTCTTGTCTCTCTCTGTTTTTTCCCCCCTCGGAAGGCCTACGGCTGCTGAGTGGTGGGGAAGAGACATGCATTGACATAGAGTTTGGGACACCCGATGACTCATGGTGAAGACATTTGAAGAGGGATATGACCTCAATTTGGTGATTTATGTAATCATCCCTTAGTCCACTCCTGCTACTGGTGTGTGGTTACAGCCATTTACCATTTCTCTACTCACCTCTATCGTTTTATTAATTTTTCTTGATGTTCTCATCTCATGTGCTCACAAATTTTTTTTACTGGCATTACCATAATTAAGTACACAAGTATCAATTGGAGAAGTACTCATTAGCAACCAAATGTTGCTGTTATTGGATTATCTTTATTGATGCATTACTGTGCAAGCAGCATTTAATGATGTAGCTGGTCCAGATTAAGCAAATTTTATTCACTTTACATACTTTATATACTGTTGGGCATTCTAATCTATAATAGTGCATTGTACTTCATAAAAAAAATCTAAGTTATACTTAAATAATGCACTTAGTACTTAAATGTACTTAATTTCCACTACTGTAATTCAGAATATTAAGACAAAAGAGAAAAATCTTTGTTCATTAGTATAAAATCTTGATTTGAAACCATGCACACCTGAACACTGGTACACAAAAAGCCCTTTATCATCTTTAAAATTTGAATACACTTTGGAGTACAACGAAAGCAAAGATGCAAAGTGGTATAGTGCTGGTAACAACAGGCCGTGGCTTAGCCTGAAAACACATGAAACCCATGAAAACATGAAATAGACTGACATGATACTTATCCAGTAGTCCGCGGCACCGCGCTTGCCCTCAATGACCTCAGGAGGAGAGAGACAGAGCGGGAGTGATGGAGTGAGGACGAAGTGGAAGACAGACAGGGAGAAACAGACATGGTGCGGACATGTAGGGAGAGATGGAGTGAAGGAAAGAAGGAGAGCATGGGGGATTATTGAGAGGCAGAATGAAAACAGACTGTAGTGAGGTTGTGAAAAAAAGGTTCTGCAAAATGCCTTACATGTAAAACATTCATGTACATCGCTGTGTCTGTGAGCTGAAGGATGTGTATTCCCTCAATGTGTCTGTCTATGCACAGAGGATGAAGAGTCCCCCCCCCCGCCCCCGTTCATCTCTCTTTCTCAGTGCAGGTCAGGCATCCATTTTAGCTGGGCTCTAATCTTCAGCGAGCGCTCCTACATTTTGTGAGCGAGGAAGCAAACACTCCTACATTTCGAGAGGGAAAGAGGATCCACACACTTCAGTCTCGGAGCAAGCCAGTGCGTGCTCCTACGTTTGTGTTTTTTTCCCTTCCAGGGAAGACAACAAGTAGGCTCAACATCCGAAGACCGAAAACGCAGAAGATCACCCCTTCATTCTTGTAAAAAGCAATCGCATTTTAACATTTCAGCCGCATTGTACTCGACAATATCTCACTAAATATCTCACTTGATAACAGTTAACAAATGTTCTATTAAGTGACATAACCTAGCCAATACGGTCTTGTGGTTACACGAGAAAGATGTCTTGTTGCCATCGATTGGTTCAGCACAAAGCAAAAGTTGTGTATTTTCATGCAGACAGACACACTATAAAACATGAGAGCTGGGGAATACTTGGAAGGGTAAATCTGACTTTTGAAGACTTTCCAGAATGAGAGATGTGAGCTTGTGTGACATGCTGTGCCCCGTTTTAACAACCCGCCGGCTGCTCCTCAAGACTTCGCCTCAAACGATGCCCCCCCCACCCTTTTCCAACCATCATCCGAACCTCTGTGCACTCCCTCGCTTCCCCCTTTCAAGCTCATTAAGTTAGGATGCCTTATCAGAGGGCACACTCTCCCCTCCAAGGCCCTACACACATGCATGTGTGCATACACACGCAATATTTGAGCTGGCTTGATAAAACCTATTGTTCATACATGCACACACACAGCCCCCGCCCCCCCCTCTCCCCCACATATACACACCTACATATGTATATATAGAACCCCTGTCCCCTCCCTTTTTTCTCTCCAAACCCTAACCCATCTCGAACCCACCCCCACCATCACCCCACACTCTCCTCCTAATCAACTACCCCCCCACTCCCCAGCTCTGGGGAGACACATTTTAGCAGAGAGGGAGGATGGAGAGAAAAAGAGAAGGGGAAAGGGAAAGAGAGAGAGAGAGAGAGAAAGAGATTCACTCCTCCTTTCTGCTCCGCTGCCACAGCGGCTTGGCTACAGAAGCCTTTGATGTTCTGCAAATTTCAAATTTCATTATAGAGAACCCCCTTCTCCTCTCCCCTCTCCCTCCCCACTCCCTCTCCTCCCCCTCTCTGCTCCCTTGCTTAAACAAGCTTTTCTGCCTCACTCTCCTCACCCCCACCACCCCCAATGCTGAAGTTAAGAAACTGAAAGCCCTGCAGAAGAGACTCTTCGTATGGGTTAATTATTCATTGGGCTGTGCGCGTTATGTGCCAAATGTATGTCTGTGTGTGTGCGTCTGTATGTACATGTGAGTGTGTGTGAGTCACGGGCTGGCAGTGGGGTGGAATGTGGATTTTGTGATGCCTGTCTTATCTCTGATCGTCTTAGATCGCCTCCACCCACTCCCTCTTGTCACTCTCCCGTACATGCGCCTACTTCTCCTGATAGAGAGCATCGGCCTTTTAGGATAAAACACATGCTCACACACACACACACACACACACACATGCAGTGTAGGGTTGCCATTTTCAAGGCGTTCTTGAGAGTCAGCATCAATGCGGCAAGGCAACCATTTCAGGGCAGGAAGCTGCCATTTTGGTTCAGAGCGTGTCAGCTGCTTTGAGAAGATGTGTGTCCCAGTGGCCCTCAGACGAAACTGGGGTGCCACTGAAGTGGTTGACAGATCGGTGGAGTCAGCAGCATTGGTGAGAAGAGGCAAGGGTAGAACGAGAGAGAAGAGAGTGCGGTTTCTACTCTGGATGTTAGTAAATGGCTTTGTTTTGTGAGTGACTGCTGTAAACCAGGTTATGGTTCTCAGCCTTTCCCTAGCATGGAAGTCACAAAAAGATAATGCTTGATATAACTGGCTTTTTTCTGTGGTAAGATTAGCCCACTGACTGGCTGTTTTTGCTTGTTTTTCACACTGTTTATTCTTATGTTTAGTCATTACATGCCATATATTCTAATTTTCAGAAAAGTTAGGCTACTCATAAATGCTATCCATTGGGATGTCAGATACAATACATATTCTAGGACAGTTTTTGTGAAATTCAAAAACAATCTTTTCACAAAATGTGAATTTTGCTTGAATATCCAAAATGTTTTCAGTACAAAGCTTATATCTGTATACAGCATGAACTCATATTTCCACTCAGAGGAAAAGTGCACAAGGGATTTAAGAGCCATATTGAAAGGGCATTGTGAGCTTTATTCCGTCAAAACAAACATTGATAGGGTATGAAACACAACACCAAGCAATGTTCATGGACTTTTTCTTTTCACAAAACAATTCCACCTCAAATTCCATTTAGTTGCTGCTCTGGAGCTTTCGACTATATTACTTGATCTTCATCAGCAGCAGTTTGCTCAGTTGTCATTCAATTGTAGATTTTCAAATTTCCATTTTTTTCCCAAGAGGGAATTTAAAAACTTCTTGTCATGTTGGATTAAAAGTTAATTCAATGATTATATTGTTCTATCATCATTTAACAATAACAATTACTATATATTATATTATAATAGTATAATATCAAACATTTTATCATTAGAGGTGAGATTGTTTTATCCACTGCTGTTTTCTTTCAAGACAACATGGATGAGAAGTTGTAATAGTGCTTAAACAAAATATGGAAATTTCAACGTCCCCAATTCAGTGAAAACTAAGCAAACTTCTTCCCGCTGATGAAGATCATATGTGATATGACTGAAACCTCAAGAACAGCTACAAAATGGACTTGAGCTGAAGTGTTTTATCAACTATGTATTATATGTATACGTTTTTCCATTTGTGATGTATTTTGGCCCTACATTTCCCATCAAGTGTTGGCCGATGTTTTCATGAAGTGTGTGTTCCTCTCCTCGTTCCACAGTACTGTGGCAGTTAAGGTTTTATGTTCGTAAAGACTGCAATGGTGGTGTGTGCACGTGGGTGTGTGCGAGGTCACAGTCATTTACTGTTGATGCTGTTCTGAATGCCTCCCTTTTTTTCCCCTTTTCCTGCTTTTCCTCTCCCTCTTCACCATCTTCCTGGTCCCAGCTGCCACTCCTCTCTCACCTCTGACCCCAGCCCAAGGCCAAGGTTGGGAGGTTGTTGCTATGGCAACATGGCAGCCCCGTGGGCTCTGACTGCTGACCCCAGGGAGCCCGGAGTAACCATGACAATCATAATTTGGTCCCCTCTGCCCCCTGCCAGCTTGTCCATGAATACCATTTAGAGAGGGAAAAGACAAACAAACCAAACTGATGCAGGATAGATGGACTAACGGGTGGATGGACGGACAGCTGGATGAAAGAACAAAAGGAAGACGCGTGTGCCACTGAAAGGACGAGCTTTAGAAATGAGTTTTGATGACCTATCGACCCTCTTCCTCTCTTTCAGTTTAAGAAAGAGGGTGTCATCGATTTGATGTAGATGGGGATCAACTTAACAGAGGTGGCTTTGCGTAACTAAGCAGCATCAAACTCTAAGAGGTCACCACTCCAGAGACTAGCTTATAATTGTTATTTAAATAACTGGGACAACTCCAACACTCCAGCCCTGCTTGGAGTCGGCCGAAAAAAAACTTAAATGAAAACAAAATGATGCTCTCTACTGTTGGGAAAATGAGTCTTATATTACACCTCATCACTGAACAGCAAATAAAAAAAAAAAAATTAACCATATGTAACATATGTAAATGTCATAATGACACCTTGTGATGTGTTAGTGGGTATTATACCTGCTGGAAGGCCACTTTGCTCTTCATTGAAAGCTCCTGTTGAGCGGGGTTGGATGTGTAAATGGCTGAACGATACTGAGTACCATGGTCATTCTGCTGCCTCATACCTGTGTAAAACACAAACACAAAAAGAAAATAAGACACCCCACAAACAAGCATACCAATCACAATGTCATTTGCATGTAAAAGGTTTTCACAATTATGTCATCATCCGGCATCTTGATTCATGAAGCCAAATGAATTCAAAGATCACAGCAGATTCGGGCTTTCATTAAGGAGGTCTGCGGTGTGTAGGTGTACGGGCTCATGTCGGTGGGTGCATTTTCTTCTTCTTGCCATCTATGTGGCACTGTCAAAATTTTCATCAGCTTTACATCAGTGTGTTTGGAGGAGACCCAGGCCTAGTGTACCATGATTAGGAGGCCACACAGCTGCCATCACTTCTATGCTTGTCAGAGGCTACAATCCTGAGCAGCCCTGGCATCCATGGACCACTCCGTGGCAGGCTTCTCTGGGTCTTTATCTCCTACCCTCTCTCTCCTACTCAGCCATTGTTTCTTCCCTTTACTGATGAGCATCATTCTTTTTTCCCCATCTATCGTTCTAAATCCTTGTCTTTCTCAATCTTTTTTGGCCTTCTGTTATGGGCTTGGGCGAGTGGCATGTGTGTGTTTCTACAGCTTTGCCTTTAAGCGGTACTTATTTGAATGCAGTGTCTTTGTTATGCCACAGTATTACCGTTTGTGTCTTGTTGTCGTGTCCATTTCTTCTGCCTATTTTACAAAACATTTTGTTAAAGCACTATTGCTTTATTCTTTTGGCCTCCTTGGAGCAGCACAACAATGACATTACCTTATAAAGCAGACATGTGAACATGTTAGCCAACACATTAGACAAAGAGCAAAATTAGCATTAATTTGTAGTCATGTCACTACTAGATTCCGCCAGAGCCAATTGCGGTGGGCATTCTAGAAAACCCTTATGATTCCCCCAGACGCGGAGAATACGCTGCAAGTCTATTTTTGAAGGAAGCCGTGTCAAGCTGCACAGAGCATATCAAACAGGGAAAGAAGTCAAACACAGAAACGGGATAGAAAATCCAGTCAATTTTCAGAATAAAAACACCCTGTGCAGACCCCCAGTCATATAACAACAAACATAATTAAAAGAGACAAAAAACTTTAACTACGTAACCTACTTCTACTACTTCTAACCTACTCATGGTAGAAGCAAAATAAAACAAAAAAATTCAAGGAAAAAAAGACAAAATCAGCTAAAGACAGCATGACATGAAAAAAAGACAAAATCAGCTAAATCTGAGCAAGCCAACCAAATCTGGCAGGCAAAATGCTTTGCTTCTGAAACACTTCCTGTACAAAGCTGTGCAGAAGACGGAACAAAAGTGTGTAGCAGATGTGATGTTATAGAGCCGTGTCCGGTGAAACGAATCTGAGTCATTCACAATCTTTTTGGCTACGTTTTGCTCTCCACCAATTTCTGAGGGAAATGTTCTGGCTCTTTAACAGCTAAATACTCCACTTTTTTCCCCAGCTAGCTGCTAACTTTGTCTGTCTGCTATTTGCTGCAAGGCAGGTACTGTCTTTCTGTTGAAAACAGCTGTCTGCTGCAGCTGGAAACAGGCTGAGGAGAGTAGTTAAAGTAAACCAAAGCATTAAACGTGCGCGTTGGAAAACCAAAACAGCAAGCTAAAAGATGCTAAAATGTGCTGTAGAGCTGAGTGGAAGTGCAACATAAGTCATAATTCTTTGTGGGTTTGTCACTACCAGAAAGCCCTTTCATACTACACATTGTCTGTGATCTATTGTGAATATAAAATGTTAATTAGTGCAGCTTTAAATTAGTAAACAAAAATTGCAATGTGTGGTAAAGGCAGTAAGTTTGTGTGCTGAAATGTGTATTGTGCTCCAACAATAGAGGGAAATATGTCAAGTCTGTAGGAAGATGACATCCTTAGATAAATAAAATAACAGTAAGGCTTTCCTCATGAGATAAGGTCTGTAGCCCATATAAGCTTTACAATGTTTTACATTTTGTCAAACAATATCTCATATTGCTTTCTATTTATATTGTGGGAGAAAACTGATTTTCAATAAAGATGCAGACAAACCGGAGCCACAAGATGCTGGCATCTCCCTGACACAGTGATCTGCATATCTTGTTCTCTTTAGATCAAATGTTACCTTACATCATAGAGTGTCACAACCTATCTGTGACACAGTCTGTTCCGATAGTGGTTATAAGTATTCATCTGGTCTTCATCCAAATCAGGACAGACAAGCAGACATCGTCTGCTCTCAGACAAACACTGAATGCCTCAGAGAATTTGCTTCACTGAAAATTTCATCAACAGAATGAAATGCCCAAGTTGTTCAAATATGATTAAAAAAAACGTGCGTTGTGGAGAACACCCCATGGGAACAAAATGTGTACATACACTCACCTAAAGGATTATTAGAAACACCATACTAATACTTTGTTTGACCCACTTTCGCCTTCAGAACTGCCTTAATTCTACGTGGCATTGATTCAACAAGGTGCTGAAAGCATTCTTTAGAAATGTTGGCCCATATTGATAGGATAGCATCTTGCAGTTGATGGAGATTTGTGGGATGCACATCTAGGGCACGAAGCTCCCGTTCCACCACATCCCAAAGATGCTCTATTGGGTTGAGATCTGGTGACTGTGGGGGCCATTTTAGTACAGTGAACTCATTGTCATGTTCAAGAAACCAATTTGAAATGATTGGAGCTTTGTGACATGGTGCGTTATCCTGCTGGAAGTAGCCATCAGAGGATGGGTACATGGTGGCCATAAAGGGATGGACATGGTCAGAAACAATGCTCAGGTAGGCCGTGGCATTTAAACGATGCCCAATTGGCATTAAGGGGCCTAAAGTGTGCCAAGAAAACATCCCCCACACCATTACACCACCACCACCAGCCTGCACAGTGGTAACAAGGCATGATGGATCCATGTTCTCACTCTGTTTACGCCAAATTCTGACTCTACCATCTGAATGTCTCAACAGAAATCGAGACTCATCAGACCAGGCAACATTTTTCCAGTCTTCAACTGTCCAATTTTGGTGAGCTCTTGCAAATTGTAGCCTCTTTTTCCTATTTGTAGTAGAGATGAGTGGTACCCTGTGGGGTCTTCTGCTGTTGTAGCCCATCCGCCTCAAGGTTGTGCGTGTTGTGGCTTCACAAATGCTTTGCTGCATACCTCGGTTGTAACGAGTGGTTATTTCAATCAAAGTTGCTCTTCTATCGGCTTGAATCGGTCGCCCCATTCTCCCCTCTGACCTCTAGCATCAACGAGGCATTTTTGCCTACAGGACTGCTGCATACTGGATGTTTTTCCCTTTTCACACCATTCTTTGTAAACCCTAGAAATGGTTGTGCGTGAAAATCCCAGTAACTGAGCAGATTGTGAAATACTCAGACCGGCCGGTCTGGCACCAAAAACCATGCCACGCTCAAAATTGCTTAAAATCACCTTTCTTTCCCATTCTGACATTCAGTTTGGAGTTCAGGAGATTGTCTTGACCAGGACCAAAAATGCATTGAAGCAACTGCCATGTGATTGGTTGATTAGATAATTGCATTAATGAGAAATTGAACAGGTGTTCCTAATAATCCTTTAGGTGAGTGTATTGTTACTCTCAATTCAGTACAGAACCTATTCCCTTTAATATCTCTTACATTTATAATCTTCCTTAGCAGCCCTGAGTAAAGCACACAGACAAAGAGAGAATGGGTTCCTTCCTTATATATAAGTAGTTGGGCCAAAAAGGTTCACAACAACACAATCTCTATCTTTTGTCTTTCTCTCCATTCAGTCCTGAACCAACTACAAACATTCCTCGACAACCATGGCATCCAGGAGAAGTTTCAGTTTGGCTTTAAATCACGTCATAGTACAGAAACAGCACTTTTAAGGGTTTTTAATGTTCTCCTTTTAACGGTGGATTCAGGTAACTCTGCTGTTCTGGTGCTTCTAGAACTGACTGCCGCCTTTGACACTGTGGATCACACAATCCTTTTATCTCGCCTTGAACACTGTGTAGGTACTGCCTTAAAATGGTTTCAGTCATACCTGACTGGTTTCTCTGTTCATTTAGCTGAACACTCTTCGTCAGCTGCTCCTCTCACTTGCGGGGTCCCCCAAGGCTCTGTTCTGGGCCCCATCCTCTTTTCACTGTATATGTTTCCTATGGGTTCCATTTTCCAGAAACAGAACATCTCATATCACTGTTTTGCTGATGATGTCCAAATTTACTTGCCTATGAAATCCATAACTAAAGATTCTGTGCAGGCATTGTTAGGAGGTAAAAACCTGGATGGCGTTAAACTTCCTAGGACCACCAAAATGATTACAATTCATCATGAGGGGGACATGAATTTATGTACTAAATTTCATAGAAATCCACCCTGTAGTTGTTGAGATATAGTGTGGACCGTCCTACACACCACCATTGCCATCCCTACAGCCATGCCGCTAGTGTGGCTAAAATTCTTCCTGATTTCATATTCTACTATTTCATACATTTAATTAATTCAACTTCATCATCTATTTTGTTTTTATTGCACTATTTACGATTCAACCCACTCTCTCATTTGTCTCCCTGTCTCTGCATCCATCTCTACACCCTCACCCTCTTTCACTCCATCTCTGCAGTGTTGGATGTCGGCCATCTTGCTCCCAGTGCTGTTGTTCAGTAACGAAGCTAATGGTGGCACCTCCATCAAAGGCCACCGAGCCACTCCGCCATTGGCTGTCCACCAGAGCCTTTACTTGGATTGGCTGGTTGGCAGGGGTCTTGTAGCTTTCCTGTTCCCTCTGACCTTCCCTGCTGAACCCGAGGTTCTGACCAGCCTAACCACATACACACACAGATATGCTTGTATATTCACGGGCATGTGCAAGATGCATATAAAAAACCTAAATCATATATCTACTACTAGTCTGACTGCTTTAATTTGATTAAAGCTATTTTACAGCAGAACAAAGAATTTACCTTAAAGGAAAATGAAACTTAATGTCTCATAGAAAGAAAAACAGCTTTTCATCACAAAGAAATGGTTA